CAGAACTGGCGGTCAGTTTCAGCAGCGGCTGAATCTGGACGCCAGTTCCGACTTACATACAGATTCAACTTAGGGACTGTAGGTTTGTTCTTATCTTGTACGTAACCCGGGGACTGTCTGTAGTCAAGGGATTAGTCAATTATCCAATAAACTTTCGCTTATTGGATAGTCGACTAGTCGCTTACATAACTAAAACAGGATGCTCCCAGAAAAATCTGTGTGTCTTTGCTAGTCTCCATTCTTTGAATTTCTCACAAGGTCACAGCAAATAATAGGACATTACTTTTCCACCAATCAGTTCTGAATTTTTGCTGGTAATCCACATAAACTCATTAATCCCCATTCCTAATAAAAGCAGAGATTATCATTTCTGAAACAGAGACATTGCTCAATGTACTTATCAGTCTGTGCCATTTTACTGTACTTTAATAATTGTTTTCAAGTAATGAATCTCAAGGCAACTTTCTATAACAAAACAAACATCTTCAGTAACCGTACATAAATTAAAAACTGTTCTTTTCTGTTGTAAACGGATGGGACATTCTTAAGTATTACTGAAGAGTTATTCCTTGATGTCCATGTATAGTCACCACAGTCTCACATCAGTACTAAAATACACTTTTAGATATGTTTAAAATGTACTTTAATATCTAGCACATATTAAAATTAAGTGTTTGTCTGTAATTCTGCATTATAACATAAAATGAGGTTTATTCAGAGACAAAGATAGCTACACAATGAGTAATATGTTCTGTTTCATTCTTTATAGCTTCTTATACCATCCTCACTGCCATAGAAAGATGTTCAAATATAGAAGAGTGTTATTAAAAGATACAACTAACATGTTTCCAATACTACAGTTGTTTACAAAAAATAAATCAAAACATGCTAAAACATCACTGAGCAAGAGCTATGTGTGAACTCCTTAAAAGCAGGTACACACTGAGGCAGTGAGAGAGAAAAGTTTGAGTCACCAAAATGCAATATAGTCCTCTCACACCATTAAAATAAATTTATAGTAAGAAATAGCAGGATAATCCCACACATGCACACCTTCCAATTCCTTGCATATCGATAAAAAGGTGCCAGATTTTAATATCACCGTAAAAGAAGCCATGCACCTTACAATAAGTTTAAACATTACCTATAAAGTCACGCTTCTCTTTTTCTTTCTCCTAGTGCATGACAAACAGCAGTAGCCGAAAAGGGAGATTCCTCAGTTGAAATCCAGTCAAACAAACATACACCTACTGAAGGCAGAATTTGGTTTGTAGATTTTAAGCAACTTCTTCTTACATTCATAGAGCTGCTGCAGTACAGATCACAATAATCCATACAATTCTGAAACCCTGTCTTCTTTGACTCTATCACATAAGAGGGAAATACTAACATTTTGCATTCATTCAAACTGCCCATAATATACTGCAATTATCTGACTCAAGTCGTTTTCTTAGGCAGGATTAGAAAGAGACAGACAGACAGCAACAAAACAGAGAACAATAAGAGAAACAGATACCATAAATCGTTAAAATGTCTAACATCTAAACAAAACACTTCTCCCATGGCATCATTTCCAGTTCTTGTAAATATTTTGGTTTGCTGCAGTTTCATCTGCAGTTTTGCAGATCAAACAAAAGGGGAAGAAACTGACTACACAGGGCCAGATTCAGATGGGATGTAAGTAGCAGTATAAACTGCTTGTTCATAAAACAGCATAAAGCAATATAAATTGGTATAATTTACTCCAAGAGAATAAAATGGCAAAGATGTAACAGGAAAAGCAAGGGTTATGACATACTGGGGTACAATACAGACTAAAGAATGCTGTGTCTCTCTGTGCTCTAACCTAGAGTGCTTTGATGCTGTAGCCTCCACCAGTCTGCACTCCACAAACAGCCTCCAGCATGCAGTCATTCCTAGTAATGTTTGGTGTATGCGGCAGCCAACCAGCAGAACCATCCTGTCCATAGGACAGTTTGGGACAGTTGCACCAAGCCCTGTGCTTTGAGAGGACGCAGGGACTGGGTGGCATAAGGTGTGGCAGCAGCAGTGACACCAGCCTCACTCTGTCCTGCTAGTTCCGGAGTCACTCACAGAGGAAGAGGCAGGTGCCGAGCACGAACAGAACAGCGGAGGGATTAGGCAGGACAGGGGTGGGTTGTCATGGGGCCTGCACCCTATAATAATGCCCCTTCCAGTTAGATATACTTTGACTCTAACCAAATGTAATTATTATATTTCCGTCTTAGTTTTCCCCCTAGAAATGTATGTCCTGTACTGCCCATCTCTCTCTTTGAAAATATACATTTATATAAAGTCTGTTTTAGCTTTAAAATAAATCATATTTAATATGCGCATAACTTGATAAGTTTCCCAGACACTTCCATTTAAAACACATTGGATTAGATAAAACCAATATAAGTTTATTAACTACATAGAGATTTTGAGTACAAGTAAATTGGGCATTAAGTCAGAAGTAGTTCAAGAAAATAAAGTTAAATCTCTACTATTGCTTCATTAACAGACTATATCAGATTCAATTCAAAGTTTCCCTCCACATACTTGCAGCAGTCTTAGGTTGCGTCGACACAGCACCCTACACTCGAAATAAGATACGCAATTTGCGCTACATAAAATGCATATTTTATTTTGAAACTATTTTGAAATAGCTTATTTTTAAGTTTGGTGTGTCTACACAGTGCTAAATTTCAAAATAATGTGCTATTTCGAGCCATCCCTTATTCCTTGTGCAACAAGGTTTAATGGGATGGCGAAATAGTTTGCCCATTATTTTGAAAAATATTTCGAAATAATGGGCAGCTTGTGTAGACACAGGGTAGGTATTTCAGAATACCTCCAGCATCTCAAAATAGCCGTGCAGTGTAGACATACCCTTACTGACTGAACTTCTTAGCTCAGGCTTCCTCTCCCAGTTCAGAATTGTTTCCTTTGTCCTTCACAGTAGGGAGGGCTGGATGCCCCTCTTGAGAAAATCTCCAGCTGAGATTCAGGAGACAAAGAATCTGTATATTCACTGCTGCTTTGTTCTCATCTAACAGGTTGATGCTGGACTTTCGTATCTTTTAGGCCAGAGGTGGGACATCTAATGCCCGGGGGCCAGATGCAGTCCCAGTTTGCCTGGATCCAGCCCCTGAGATTCAGGGTTCCCCCCCCAGTATTGGTGAGCCTAAGCTAGCCTTTCAGCCCCCCCTACCACCAGCCCATGGGCCGGAGCACGCAAAATCTACTAGCATCAGTCCCACTAGGCTCTAGTGTGCAAGGGGAACATGGGGGTGGGGAGTGTCTTTCTCCTTCTCAGTTGAGGGCCACGCTGGTGCAGATTTGTGGGATGGGATTGCTTTTCATTTGTGTGTGGCCCCCCAACCCAAAAAGGTTCCCTACTGGTTTTAGGCAGGGTATAGCTATGCAGTGTGGTTTGTGCATAGTAGTTTCATTGAAACATAAAAGTGCCTTTTCTGGAGTAGCAGTGTCAGTTTTATCTGTGGATGGCATATTGGTTTCAAGAAAATGTGTGCCAAATTCAGAAGTTATTTATACCATGGTGTAGCAGGTTGGTAAACAGGCATCTGCCATTGTATGAGACTCCAAATTACACACCAGGGATGCTAGCCCTTTTGCTTTTAGTGTAAGCTTTGCAACATGTGGTATTTTGCTTAAATGTCCTACCTATAGACAGAGCCCTGTGCGGATTCAGAATTGGTATGTGCATCCATAGCTGCACCTGCAAACACGATCTGCAGAGATCCGCATCCCCCCTGGATTTGCAGAGCTCTACCTATAGGAGCAAAGAGACTGACCCGGACACCACCTATATCTGAAGCACTCATTGACCTCATTGCTGTTCCCGCAGCATAGGGATGCACGGTGCTCGCCAAGTTACCATATTGCTAAGCACAACAAAGCAATGCTGGCCTAGCCGGGGTTCCTCGTTCTGCTTCCCAGGGGACTTCGGGGGGGGGGGGGCATTTAGGCACCAACTGCCTGGGCTTTCCAAAAACCCGAGGTGTTACCAGGCTGCTAACCCAGCAAAGAAGCCCGCAGCCGGGGCTACTGAGGGGGTCGCAGCGGCTGGGCATGCCGGGGGGGGGGGGGGTGAATTC